TACGAAGCATTGTCTGTTGGAAGTAGAAACCGTCCGTTTCCGGCGCAGGTTCGCCAATGAGCTCAGCTACCTGTAGATATCACAACTGGTATTACACTTGAAAATATTAACGGTTGGGCTTGGGAAACTGCAGTAAATTATCTGGGTGGAATTCAGAAGTTCGGCGAAACTCAGCCGAAATGATAACGAAAAGAACATTCAAAGAATTCGACTTCAGCAGCGGAAGGGCTTGGAGGATCCGAGGGCAACAAATGGGTGGAGTCGCTTCTCGACCGAAAAATCTCGCCACCACAGCTGGGCTTCATCGCGCTTATTCAAATGAACCTTTGAGAAACCAATCTTTTCAAAAAATTAAGTCTTCGCGTGCCATTAAAGGTAACGTCTCGAGCCATAATTACACATGGATAGTCACATGTTGGAGAAAGTCCAGAATGCAGCAAAACTAAATCTTTTTTCTGCAGGCGGTGGTTTTTCTGCCCAAAGTGCAAAACGGGGCAAATCAATTTAATTCCGGAACCATGATTAGAGCACTTACATCAGATGGGAGGAGAGGCTTGGGGTCGGCTTGGTCTCCACTGGCTTGCCCGCTTCCAACCATTTGAACGGCTCTTGAGTTAGAGTTCGATAAATTTCTGAAATAAATTCTATGAAATAAGCTCAATTCAAACTAACATATCACCAATGAGACGAAATCTTTGAAGGACTTCTACTTACCTGCCCACTTGGAATCGGGGTTCACCTCGTCCTGAACGTACAAGTAGCCGAACAGGAACAGAAAGCCGCTGAAGACGAGAAGAGAGTTCTAAAAAACGGTTGGTTGTGGTGAGCATTCCTAAAAGGTTATAAATAAAAGAAGCGTAAAATATTTCAAAAAGAAGATTTTCAGCCTCGAACTATCCCAGACGACGACCTTCACTGAAATGCGCTCGCCAAAATGGTTGTCATCGAACGGTGTCGATCAATGATGGAACGCCCACATAAAAAGAGCAGACTAGGCAAATTTACGTATGAAAGGATAACAAAAGGCATTAAAGGCATCAGAAGGCTTCTAAAGAGGTTACCCAGATAAAGACCTGGCCCTTTTATTGCGAACAACCTATGAAACTGAATATGGTAGACTTTCTCTACTGATCTTCGATCAACCCCCTCTCAAATCCCCTTTGAGAACACTGCTGCACTGACTTTCCGGTCAATGTGTGCAGTACGGGACGTTAGACCAAAGTGACGAAGGAGCTCCCTTCTGCTTTAGGAGCGCACGCTTGCTGTACAGCTATGGCGGGATGGCGGGCATTTCTTCCGTAATAGAAGGAACCAAAACTCAAATTCAGGTTCAACAAACACTTTGAATTAGCCGC